CCCCAAAACCCCAAAACCCCAAAACCCCGTGATTCGAATTGTGATAGGTTCTAAGAATATATTAAACTTGAAATAAACTAATATAATTTACTGATTTCAAAATGAGAAGATTTACAAGTTAAAAATAAAAGCGAGATGAGTCTGATTTGAAGCAGCAAGGTAAAACTGAATTCATAATCAAGTGTTTAGTGAATTTTAAAGCCAGGAAAATATACAAGCTACTTGATAAAGAAACTGCTCTTTAGATATAGTAGTGTCTCATTGCTAATTAGAAGGATAGTGCTATTCATAGGTAGTCATGCAAATTAGTGAAATAAAATGATAATTCTGATGATGAGAGTCATGCGACTATATCTAATGCCAGCAGCGATCATCTTAAGGATCTTAATGACAGTGTAGTCGATTAGATAATTAGTGATGATTAAGTGCAATAAGTACCCAAACACAATTTCAAGTATGTTATTTGATCAATAAAGTAATTAGAGAGTTATTTGTGAATGAATTAGAGAGTGAAATACTTCGCAGATTTAGACTATATGATAAATTTAAAGTCAAGTTTGATAGATTCAATCAAGAACTTACCAAATCTCAACTAGAGTAAGCTTCTATTTTATAATGCATAATTTAAGTGCTAACATCTGTGAAAAGAAGATATAAGATCTACAAGCAGGCAAGCTGCCCTTGAAAATTTCCAAATCAAAGTAAGTCTATGTTTATATCTTTCTATTTCTGACTATTAATCATAAATCCACCAATAATCTAACAATTATTTCAGATTAGATGTGGGAATAATGCAGGGACTACTGTCACAAAGCTTGATTCAAGAAATTAAAAGTTCTTATGGAATAAACTCACTTTATTATACAGTGACATAGGGTACAGATTTATTTTAGTCTGAGAAGGTGAGCGACAGTTTCAGGACCCCTCAGTGGCAAGAAACTTTCACTTTCACTCTTGAGCATGAAAATGAGAAATTATTGTTTGAGATATTCAGACACAATAGCAGTGAGGGTGATCTTTAGATTGATTAGTTTGAACTTATTATTCAGGAGTACATTGAAAAACTTAAAGATCAATCCTCCAAGAGTATGCTGATTACTTCAGATAATGAAAATGGGTTTAAAGTAATGATGAAGTGGAGGTATGAGGATTCAGGGATCAAACTTTAGATCCTAAAGAAAAAGATATAGCAACTTAAAGAGATAGTTTAAAAGGACTCAAGAGAACTAAAACAATTCAAGGAGAGTTATGAAAATTTGTTTAACTTTGAAGGAGATTGTAGATAATTGATTTAGATTTGGGGATTGAATATTATTTTAAAGCAATCACCAGATTCTAAGATGGATAATGCATTTCATACTTTAGAGAGTAACTCTGCATCTCCTGATTTAGCATATGAAGTAAGGCCTAATAAGATAAGTAAGTAAGCTAAGAAAAGACCATTAGCAAAGGTATCTAGGCATAATTCAAGATCAAGTAGTCAAATGGATGAGTAGCTGACTCAGAACTCAAGACAAGACACTCTTGAAACTATAACACATCCTTATGGATTATAGAACTTACATCAGAAAAACAATAGCCTAGGTCTAAATAATTAGAATAGTAATCTATTGAATAAAAATACAAAGTTTCAACTCTTTAGGCCTCCTTTTAACAATACTCCAGAGCCTAACATTCAAAACAACAACCTTATCACTAAATTGAATGGAGATAGAGGCGATTCCAAAGATAACAATAAGGATAATTTGAGAATGGAATCTCCTAATAGCAATTACTACAGAGGTGGTGGATATGGCTAATAATTCGAAAATCAAACTCAGCTTAGAAATCAACAAATATAAAATCTCAATCAAAGTATCTTATCTAATCGTAGTGGAAGCAATTCACCTGAGAAGAAGTTCTCAAGAAATCAACTATAGGCAAAGAAAAACATACCAACTATGAATACAAGCCCTGATTTGAATAAAGGCATGCCCCCTAAACTAGACTTATAAAATTAATCTATGAATGGTGAGTAATCACAAATTTCTGATAGACTAAGACCCACTGATAAAATCTTCAATAACGAAGCTTTTAGCCTTTATAAAGACTTGAAAAATAAATACAGTAGTAATCAACAAAATGGTAAAACACCAATAAATAGTGCTTAACAATAGTTGAATAATTAGCAAAATCAGCAGCCTCCTCTTCCTTTGTAGTAATACAATTCCTAATCGAACATAGCAAATAATAAAATTGCCTAGACTATTATTAAAGTACCAGATATCACAAACAATAACATGAATACCACGACAAATGAGAATGAGCATGATAGCTCTGCCTTGAATATGACCTTCACAGAGTTGCTGAAGCAGCAAGATGAATTAGACAAGTCTAGAAGCAGTCAGCACTCGCCTGAGTAATTCAACTTTCTGAGATTTGACAGCAACAATAACAATGAGATCTAAAATCAAGATGACTAGGGAATACATAGGTTTACATTCAACCATAAAACTGAAAGGCAAGAATAGGAGCATGATTCAAATTCAATTCCTAAAATTGATATTCCAAATTATGTCCTAGGCCTGCCCCAAACTCAAACACATAACGAATCATAATTTATATAAACTGTTGAGGAATAAGAATTTAGAGCAGCTAATGAGGAAGAGCACGAAATCTTTGCTGAAGGTGAAGCTAATGATAAGTCTTTACCAAACAGAACCGATGCTAATCAAGGGCAGTAGATGCTAAAGAGAAAGTAAATGAAGGGTAAACAAATGCATGAGATGGATATGGACATGCTTGAAGGTAATACGAGTTCTGATTAAGTGAAGCCACAAATAGTGGAAGTAGGTGATAACATTGTTGGGTTTGTGGAATTTGTAGAAACTAGGTAAGAAGCTCTCAAGTAAAGGGAACTATAGGCTTAATTGATTAAGTAAATGATTGAGTAAAGAGCATAATAACCGTTTAAAAGCGTATTTACATCTCAAAAGGCCTAAAAGACAGTAGCATAAGATGATTAAGATTTACAAACTTCTGAATAATCAGCCCTTAGTCCTTTTAATACTAGAAAGGCAAAAGACCAGTCTCATACAATGAATATGCAATAACAAGACTTACCTTAAAAATCTAAGAATTAGGAAGTAATTGATGACTTATAGAGGCAGATAGAAGAGATAATGAAGGAAAATGAGTTGCATTCAAGTCCAGACAGCATAAACTAAAGAGATGAAGATGACATCTTAATGAAATCAAATGGCGGCCCCTCAAATATGAAAAGAAATCAAAAAGGTATGAATAAACAGTAGCATCAATTCATTGATAATAAAAGCAACAGTCCTGATGATTTAAAATCATTGGGATCTTAACCTATTAGAAGAGATTAGTCTATTGGAGACTTTTCCTAGAATAGTAAGGAGATCTTAGAACCTACTATGAAGAATCTAAGAAGAATGGAGTTAAGAAATCAAAGGAGAGATATACAAACCTCATTAGTGACTTGTTCTATTGATAACTTAATTGATAAGCACGCTCGTAAGTCAGTTATTGTTGAAAATAAGCCAAGTATTTCTGAATATAGTGGAAGTTAAAACCAATTCTAGATTCCTAGAGTGACACCTCAATTCAAAGGTCATGGCAGTTCATTTAAATTTGGACAGAGCATGAATGGTTCAATGTATAGATTTGGAGGAATGGGCATTGGTCATTTGATGAAAAGTTTAGAAGCTGGATCAATCATGGCTTAGCACGCCTTAATAAAAAACATAGATCAATAGAATGAAGCAAATATTACGAGCAATAATAATGAAGATACATTCTCTCAAAATTCATCTATATTCTCACCTGTATAGAATGTTGCTATTAGTGACTAAAACAATCACTCTCAGTCCATGAAGATTCCTCATAGGGGTTCTCATTTAATCAATAACAGTATTTTCAACCACCAACCCTCAGGTCCTGAAGCTCTCGGGAAGAGATTGAGTGAATATTCCAATCCGTTTTCACCTCCGAAATTGAACTCTAACTCTCCTCAGCTGCAACAGCAATAGTAGCCTTAGATGAAGTAACAGGAGAACACTTAAAGTTCAGGATTTGGATTTTTCTTTTAAAGGGCATTTAGCAGGCCTTCAAGCATATTTGGAGGCAAGTGATTATTATTTAAAGCAGTTACATATAAGCATATTTATTTACTGTAATAACTATTCGAACATAGTTAAAATGTATTTCAGGGGTTTTGGGGTTTTGGGGTTTTGGGGTTTTGGGGTTTTGGGG